CTTTTCCATTGACAGTGGAGACTGACTGCAACTGAGAGCGTCACTCGCTTCTTACAGAATTTGCAACCCAAGTCTCTCCACTACACCAGAATGCTAAGTAAAAGCTTAGTTCCCAGCATCTTTCACAGCAACAAAGCTGGATATTATGGCCACTGCCTTATTTGAAAGATGACTCAGAGAACTAACAGTCCTTTTCTACCCCTCTGCTGACCTTTCAAATTATACGCAGTGTTGTACAAGATGTCTCTGGTTCCCAGAAATGACTGAAGTATAGCAGGTCTGATTGCCATTATTCAAAGTCTGGACATTTAAATCCCAATGTGTTCTTCCAAGTGAACCTAGGCACTGCTTCCCACTAATATGCATATTAACAATTCAAATAATCTGTCTTTCTTCCAGCATCTCATATGTACCAACACAATACAAGTAGGGAATTTGTAAATTCCATTTTCCTGTAAAGGTTAGTTTAAAAAAAAATTGATTCAGGAAACATGCTTGTCAAGATGGTGAAAAAAATAGGATCTTTTGACACTGCCAATGTAGGCAGCACTTATCCACTAAGGAGATAAAAACATAAACATGTAGTTAAATTGTTGTTTAAAAATCAAACATGTGTGAATCTTACTTCAATATCTTTCAACCTTAAAGCCAGAAAAAAACCAAGCCCTATCCCTGTATGACTACCAAATTTAGTCCCCGTAGGAGATATACATTTCTGTATACCTCTGATTATATGGGATCATTTAAAAATGCTACATTTTGAAAGCAGCAAGTGAGAAAGATGAAACCAACAGACCTTTCTGAGATATAGTCAATACAGAAACAGGACAATATGATGAGTCATTAGATACCATTCTCACCTCTTGTATATGTTTTTACTGCCCTCTCAAAATAAAAAGCGTGCCGTATTTTGACATAAGGATAACAGTTTGGTGTAGTGGAAAGAGTATTAGATTAAAAGTCCTAGAACTGGGGTTCAAATCTTGGCTCTGGTCCTTATTACTTGTGTGACCTTGTGCAAGTCACTAAGCCTCTGTTCCTGAATTTCCTCATTTGTAAAATGAGGGAGCTGACTTACTGAGCACTAGATCTATATTTCCATGAATAATCCAAAACCTTTGGCAGAATTCTTTCATAAAAATGATGGAAGGAATAGGGATTGAGAGATTCTATGATGAAGTGGGCTTGATCCAACAGTGATAATAGCTGGCATTTATTTAGTGCTTTCAAAGATTATAAAGCACTTTTTAAATATCTCAGTTTGTCCTAGGATATAGATTCTATTATTAACTTTATTTTACAGGTGAAGAAACCTACTTTGTGAAATTCAGTGATTTATCCAGAGTTACACATGTAGTAAGTGTCTGAGACTGGATTCAAACTCAGATCTTCCTGGCTTCAGGTCTCCCACTATATCCATTGTACCACCCATCTGCCTAGCTATGCATGAGGTAGGCTTGTGGCTACCCTAGTCAGTATGATGGAATAGGCCTGATGGTGGTAGACTCAGAGGTTCTGAATGTGAGTGAGCATGCCTGTTTGTGAATTCGTAATCAAACAAACACTAAGTTCAGGATACTGTGCTAGAAAGTAGAGGGGATATTTAGAAATACAAAGCAAGATTCTTCTCCTCATGGAGCTGACAAGATAGGGAAGATTCATAGTGAGATGCAGGATTTGGAAGACCTGGTCCCAGTCTGCTGCTATGAAACTGATTCTGAACCTGTTTCCTCATCTGTAAGATGAAGAGGTCAAACTAAGTATCATCTGAGTTTCCTTTCCACTCAAAAATAAGTGATTCAATGAAAAGCTTACTAGCAAGAAAAACAAACAAGTTTTAAGTAACAAGTGAAGGATATGGAAAATAAATATTTTAGGTCTTCAGATGAGGAAAAGAGCACTTGCAGGAAGTGGCCGAGGAAGACTTCACATAGAGGGAAGAGGTGGGACTTGAGCTTGGCCTTGAAGAATCAGTATAATTGAGAAAGTAGAATGAATACAATTGAGAAAGATAGAGGGGGAGCAGGTGGAAAGGAGACATAGGGTGGGGCGCTTTCAGGGCAAGGCAATGACATGTGCAAAGACATGAATCTGGTTAAGCATCCTTAAAATGGAGAGCTGTGAAGGACCTCACAGATCATTTAGCCAATCTATCAACAAACTTTATCCAGTCCCTATTATGTGCCAGGTCCTAAATGTGCCAGGAGATACAGGAATTATCATCACCATTTTTCTAGATGAGGAAACAGACTGAGAAATGTTAAATAACTTGCCCATGGTCACATAGCTGGCAAGTAACTGAGGCAGTATTCAAATCCATACCTTTCTGACTCCATAGCACTCTATCCTACACAAAGCTAGATCACAGATGAAAGAACTTAGATGCAAAAAGGAAAAAGTCCAAGGTCAAACAGATATCAGAACTGAACCAGTAATCAAACCCTGAACTTTTGTGAATCTACTGGTCTCTTCATTCTCCCTTGTACAAGTCAGTGGACAGTGAGTAAGCAAACTTATTTAGGCCAAAGGGTTTAAACTGGCAAATAAAAAGCTAAGCCTAGAAAGGTGGTTCGAGGTCATGTAGCAGAAGGTCTTGAAAAACGGCATAAGGATTTGACCTCTAACTTATACACTATGGGGAAACACAGTAAGCCTTTGAAGAGAGGAGTGAACTGATCCAAATAGTGTATTAAGAAAATTAACATGGTGGCAGCATATTGGATGAATCAGAAATGAGAGAGCCTAAAGGGAGGGAGGTCAATTAAAGGGCTGTAAACAATCTGGGGATGAGGTGATAGGCATTCAAACAATGTTAGTGGTACCAGAAATAGAAAAGAAAATATGCATTCTGGAGGCCTTGGCAAAAGAATGGAGAGGACTGAGTGGCTATAGAGGGATGAAGGAGAGAGAGAAGTGAGCAACTACTGAAAGTTTTGGAGCAGGGAGGAAAGAGATGATCCAAATAATATTGAAAGGAAATAATTATGATGATAGGGCAAATTAATAGGGAGGGCTCCAAAAGGCAGGGATGTGAGTTAGGAAGCTATATTTTAGGAGAACAATAAGATTACAAGGGCTTAATTGTTATGAGGACCTGAAAACAAAAAGACATATGAGATATATTTGAGAGACCTCTGAGAAACAGTGAGGGGAGGGAGGGAAGAGTCAAAGTTGGCTTTAGGATTTTAAGCCTCAAAGTCTAGGATATTGGTAATACCATTGACCGAAATAAGAAGAGCTTTTTTTTTTTTGTTTTGAAAGGCAGGTCATTTAATATCTGGAGTCGTGAAGGAGTTAAGACTTGGAACTCACATTATCATGTCCATCTGCAATGGAAGGATATGTTAATTGATGTGAAGAAAGATCTGTTATTTATGTAATTGCTATTATCTGGTCAGAGAAGCATAAAAGGTCTATAAAATAAGAATGCCAGGAACAGTCACGCTAACTGAGGTGAATTCAGAGATTTTTGAGGAGGGCTTTGTATTCAGCAGAAGGAATCACTAAATCTCACTGAATCATGGATCTAGAACTGGGAGGGTACTCTGGAAGCTTTTATTTTTTCATATGTAGAAACTGAGGCCCATGTTAATATAGTACTTGACATAAATGGTGAAATTCTAAAGCCTGAGAAACCAAAAATAGGTGCCTCCCTTTCTCTAAGTTGTCAAGCAGTGCCAGGGCACAAAGTGTCATCAAGAATATTGGAATACTGCTTGATTTGTTGTCACTTGAATTATCACCAACTTTACAGTTTTAAGGGCTGAGGAACTGCTTATTTTGCTAGGATGGTTTTAGGTTACTTAAGTCAGCAAGGGAAGTGCATTCTGACTGACAAGGTGATATCATCAAACAATCCGCAGCTTCTGCACTTCTTATCAGCTGAATGTAACCCTTGAGCTCAGTTTTCAAATAGCTGCTTAAATTGCACCTGTAAACTCTGCCCATTTCTTTGCTGCGAGTTACTTTATCTCTTCAAAGAAGTGTGCACATCAAACTCAAGAGTAGATTCGTTCCTTCACTATGCATCAGTTTCCTCCTCTCAAAGTGGCTAGGATGTTGGACTTGGAATAAGGAAGACCTGATGTTGAATGCTACCTCACACGCTTCCTCAATGTGTGGTCATCGGTAAGTAACATTTAATCTCTGAGAGTTCCAGTTTTCTTTTCTGTAAAATGGGGACAATACCAGTTGTACCTCACAGGGCTGTTATGAGGCTTCAATGGGATAACGACACCTTATAGCACTATATAAATATTATTATTCAAAGATGCCTTAAATGCAAGGTTTACAGTAACAGGGGCTGGCGCATGTATAAAACATTATGAGTCTAACTGATTTGAGGAAAACAGAACCTATGGTGGCTAGAGAGGTGCTGGGGGTGTCACACAGCATCCAGAGACAGAACACAATTTCCTTGGCTCTGCCGTACTGTTGTTACTGTTTTGCTGGTATTATCTCCATTTTCAATGGAGGCAGTGCCTCCTTTGTGAGCTCCGTGGCGAGGTCCAGCCTAGCAGAGCGAACCTAATTGTCCACCCTGCGGAGACACCTTCACTAAGTCTTAGCTGTAGCTCTCTGTACCTTTGCCAGTCAGCTGGCCAGGCGCGGACTGTGTGAGAGCTCTCTGTGCCTGCTTCTCCTCACCCCCACCCCCACCTCCACCTCCACCTCCACCCCGCCCCTCCCTCTTCCAGACAGCGGCGGGTTGCAGCTGCTGCAGAGCTTTCCGCAGCCGCCCCCGGCCCTTGGCCCTCACTTTTGGGCGCTGTCCATGGTTGCAGTATCTTTTGCCGAGCGACGTCAGCCGGCTGGAGCCTGGCCCTACGATTGGCCGGTGAGTCTTGGCCCTCCCACCCTTCACTCCCCCCCAAAACCTCCGGGGAAAGCGCGTGCCCAAGAGCATGCAAGGCTCTAGCTGGGGCTCCCGGGTGTCACACCCACTTTCCTTATTAGGGAAAGACGGGCCGACCCTAGCCGAACCAGGCAGGACTGTGGGGTGGGTATAGGGGAATAAGGAGAGGGGAGAGAGCTGAGGCAGCAGAGGCAGCAGCGGGAGGTAGCACAGCTCCTGCTGCGCCCTTCCTCCTGCCCTCCCTTAGTGCGTGGAACTTTTCCTTAATTCACCTCACTTCACTCCATCCCTGTCCACCCCTCTCTCTCCTTCCCCCAAGGATTCCCCTTTTCCCCCAACAACATGGAAGAATTTTTGCAACGAGCCAAATCCAAACTGGTGAGTTGAGGGTAGGCTGTGTGTGTGTGTGTGTGTGTGTGTGTGTGTGTGTGTGTGTGTGTGTGAGAGAGAGAGAGAGAGAGAGAGAGAGAGAGAGAGAGAGAGATGGGAGTGGGGGAGGGGGGCTGAAGTAGAAAGAGGTTGGCATCAGAATGAGATCTAGTAACTTTTCAACTTAATTGTAAGCCTACCCTAGATGTATGGGGGTGTTATCTAGTGTGTGTCTATTGTGACACAGGAATTTCTTCAAGGAAGTTTGGTCCATACTCCAGAGAACCTGTCCAAAGACATTCATTGCCCAAAATAGACAAGGGATCACTCAGCAGGTAGTCATTCCGTGATTGAAGTTTTGGTAGTTTGTTTCTGGCTTGCTCTCCTGGCAAAAGGGAAGTATGCAGAGGCCCAGAATACAGTCAGTGGCTCTTAGTGCACTTAGAGTGTCCTGTGTGTTTTCACCAGAAAAACAGAACAGCATTAGGCTTTAGGACTTACAAAATTCCTGCAAATTCAGAATGTTCAGTTACGTAAGAGAATAGAGAAAACACCATACAAACATAAATCCAGATTTGTGGCAAAATCAAATAGGAAGTTAGACACATTAAGAGAGGTAAGCTATGTGGACCTGGGCATGTTAGCCAAAGGATTGCTAACAGCTTTTGTTGAAGTTGAAGAGTTTTTAATGTGAGCATTCCTTATTTGATTTTATGCTTGATTGTTGTGTTCAGTTATATAAACCAGGGCAGTAACTGAAGGGGAAAAATCACAACTGTTGCTAATGGTGTGGGGTTTGTATCTGGCTACATTTCTTCCATGTAAGACTAACCAAGAAAAAACTATATTCCCCACTTCTGCCAAGTCAGGATTCAAACACAAGTTTATTTTACTATTCATTTTGGTTACTGTCATATTCTGGAGTAACAAACTTTACTAATTTCTATTTGCAACAGTGTTTTGGATTCCTAAAAAAGCAGTATATAATATGGACGAATCTACTCCTTCCACCTACTGAACAGTAATGAATGCAGTGGAAATGTTTTGTTTAGAGATACACACACAGGAGTGATAATGTCTATCTGAAAGCAATGTCTTTGACAGTGAAAGCACTTTTTATGGGCATGGCACAGGAGGAAATGCATAATTTATGATGCCTTTAACCTTTAAATCTTCATAGAAGCTGAACTACTAAAGTCTATATTAAGGGTGACGTCTGAATCACGTGGCAGGAAATTTTCTGGTTATTACTGTAACTCATTTACCCTCACACAATAAAGGAAGTGCTGGTAAGAGTCTGGAAATGTTTTACATTCTAGCTTTACAATGCAAATAGACACATGCTTCTTATAATGACATAACTGTAAGTACTTTATCTTTATTTTTTAAAAAAAGATTGTTGAAATTATTTAATTCCAGATAAAGGCTTTATCTTCTTTTTTTTAGAAAATTTATTCTTTATAACTCTAAAGTGGAGTGGTTGGGGTGGGGGATTCTAAAACAGAAGAAGACTGCGGTCACTTCTGTGGCTGTTACTGATCCCTTCATTGTCACCTGCAGTGTCCAAGGAAGGTATTGTGTTTTGGAAATTAACTCATTTTAGAAATTTTCTGTTTCATCACTGTTTTATCTACAAGAATAAATGAGTACTTAAGTTTCTTATATTTTAACTCATGAGAAGACTAGGAAGATCTTTATGAAAGTGGTAATCAAGTTTTCTTTGTATGTAGCAGGTACTAAGTAAATATTTGTTGATCTGAATTAATTTATTTTTATAATATAGTAGAAGACACTTATGTTGCTGTTGTTATTTGTCCTTTGTTATAAATGCAAGGAAAAATACTTTAGTTCTGTACCTGTACTCAATTCAGATGTAATTTGGGGAATGTTGGGGGAATTAAAATGTTTATAAACTAGGTGATGTGGAGTAAATTAGAAACATATCTTTTCATGAATTCAAATTTTGTGAGTTTTTTCTGAATGCCAGTTACTGAAATGGAAAACAAACTCAATTAATTAATTTAGAACCATTAATTTAGAAGTGTGTTTAAGTTGATTTGACATATCCTTTTATCAAATGAGCAATGGCTTGATATTATAATAGTGCTTTTTCCATTGGGTTGTCTCACCCAAAATAAAATTGCTGCTTACATTTCTATTTAAAAAAATAAATTTCTTGTAATTATGCTATAGACACAACCATGTGATTTCACATTGAGTCTAGCAAAAATATTTCTGCCAATAGGTCTTTTTAAAAGCATAGTGTTTCCAGTGATAAATTAAATTATCCTGGTAAAGGAGTTTATAATTAATATATAATATCCAAGATGCTTTGGTAGGAAAGCTTGTTGGTTATGGTCATGAAGACAAATTAGGCTAATGATAAATATCTCTTAAAATTTGGGGACTTAAGCATTTGATCTGGCCTTGAGAGATATCAAGGAAAAGTGATATGTCATACACATTTTCACTTTGAGAATTGGGTAGATGCATGTTTAGAGTTTGTTTATACTATACTATCTACCCCTCCAGAGTCATTGTGCCACAGTAAATAACATACTAGGCTTGGCATCAGCCAAGACCTGTGTTTGAATCCTGCCTTTGACCCTTAATTAGCTGTAAGTCCATTTGCCGAGTCACTTAAACTCTCTGAATTTTATTTTCCTTATCTATGAGATGAGGATGATAATCACATTTTTGATGTCTCATGGTTATGAAGATCAATGAAAGAATGTGTATAAAGTGCTATAGAAATGTTAGCACTTATTATTTCTTACATTCAAAGGTTTTATACAGTCTCTGCCTCTGTAATACCAAGCAGTAGTTTGATTTTTTCTGCCTTTATTCAATTAAGTAATCATATTTACATTGTATATTGGAACTGTCCTAAATGACTGCTTTATGAAACAGATGAGATTCTAATGGCCTGAAATAGTTAATGCTCTTCATTCAAGCACTCACATCATCCAAAGAGTGAACTCCTCATCACCTGAGTTAGCTAATGCAAATTGGAAACAATGAATCTTCAAATTGCAAAATAAATCTTAGTGATAGCTCAGATAATTTAAAATGGGGATGCCTGTGTGGATAAAATATTTGTTACTAAGATAGCTGTTGGTAAGTTAGGATTTTTGGTTAGGCTTCATACATTATTTCTGTGTAAGTTATCTATTATCAACAATTTATTTTGGTTTGCATGGGTGGAAGTTTAAGAATGTATGATAGTGCATAAAAGTATGAACTGACTTCATGACGAATGTGACTACAGGAAGCCTAACCCAAATAGATATTGCTATTCCCACCTTTGACATTGATTGAATTTCTAAGATCATTCTTGCTATGAACTCTCAGCCTTTGCTACCTGTCCAGGGAGAAAGGGAATAATAATAGCAATAACATGTTGCAGAACCTGTGGCTTCGAGGTCACATGTGGCCCTCTAGGTCCTCAAGTGCAGCCCTTTGACTGAATCCAAACTTCACTTATGTGAAGGGCCACAGCCAAGGGCCAAACTTGAGGGCCTAGAGGGCCATATGTGGCCTCAAGGCCACAGGTTCTCCACCCTTGAATTATAGAATTATATATAATATATATAAGTTGCTAAAGAACTTTCCTCACAACAAGCCTTTGAAATAAGTAGTATATGTATTCCCAATTCTGTTTTACAGATGAGAAAACTTGAGCCCAGAGAGGCTAAGTAACTTGCTCCAGTTGACACAGACTTTAAGTGACAGAAGAGGAATGTGAAGTCAAACTAACCCAGGGAGCTGGCTGGCATTTGGCTAGTAGATTACTGGGAGAAACAAGGAATAGGTTTCAGTAGATTACTCTTTATTTGGACTGTAGGGGTTTTTCTGCAGGAAAATATAAACATGTTTCTATTAGGATGTTTTCTCTTCTCCCTCCCTTCCAAGGTGGGTAGACTAATATTTTTTTCCTTGGCCCTCTTTCCTTCTCACTATTTACCAAATCATGGAATTTCTAGTTGGAAGGGGCCTCAGTGGTCACCTAATTCAGACTGTACCTGAAAAAGGATCCACTCCAAAATATACTGACAAGTGTTTATCCTGTCTTTTCTTGAGATTTCCAATGAAGAAAATCTGCTTACTTCCTAAAGTAGCCATTTTACTTTTGGACAACTCTAATCATGAGGAAGTTTGCTTTTACACTCATTTCACCTAGTTTTATCCTCTGAGTCCAAGTTTAATCCCTTTTCTATGTGACAACACTTCAAATACTTGAAGATAGCTAGTGTGCCTCCCCTACTCCCACCCTTCCCCTGAGTCTACTTTTACTCCGGTTAAATATTCTCATTTCCTTCAACCAATTCTCTTACTCTCATGACTCCCCAAACTATATCTCCGTCCCTGACATCTCTTCTGAGGTGCAGACATACTGCCAGTATAGAAAAGGAAATGAAGATCTGTGGAGTTACATGGTAGAGGAGGGCATAATTATACATATGTGTATGAATATGTATGTATATGTATGTATATATAAAATCTCATTTGATCCTTGTAGTTATTATGGTAATATGCCTTCTAGGTTGGATTTTTGATCATGTATGGAACAACGATTCTTTATAGTGATAGATGTTTTCTTCAATTCACCATCTCCAGTCTTAGTTCCTTAACTGGGTCTTTGTGCCAGGTAAATTTTTGAGTGGTGTGGTCAGTCCTGCTTGGTCACAACCTGGGTTACTGTGGTGACTTTACTGACTTCTTTCTCCCAGGGTTAGGCTCCCCCTGGATATTTGAGGTTTGGAGCACTGGACCTTCGTAGCTCTCTGTTGCATTTTAGGACGATGTCAGTGATCTAGGAGCCTTGAGGTGACCCAGTCTGAGTGCTACGAGGTTCAGATGGCTTTCATACTTCCCACTGTGGTTATCTGAGTAGTCTGGAGCTTTTACTAGAAGTTTTCCACTGCTGCTGTTTCTAGCTACTGAGCCTTATTGGTTGTGCTGAGAGGCTACCAGCTTGTTTGTCTGTGCTGGTGCTGGCTTTGTTGCCT